TACGTATGCATATAACATTCTTCTTTTTAAATGACCTTAACATTCTAATATTTCTGATAGAAAGTAATGAATTTCATCCAATAACTAAACGCAGGGCCGGTTACACGGCGAGTATTTCCTGTTTACTTAAACGTCATAGATCAGTCCTCTTTGTTTACATAATCAACTTATTGTTTACAAGGAATAGATACCCGGCTAGATTACTTCTTTCTTAGACAATCAGGACCTCTGTCAACAGATCCTAATCTGACTTGTCACTTTGGAATCCGTTATCAAAACAGATCAACGCGCGTTAAACACACATCAAGTTGTCACGCGACGGTCGCACGTGGCTTAGACAGCGGTCACTTTCGACAGTGAGGTAAAGTGACCATTTCTGATCTACTCCGTGTCACTGCTTACCTTAATCAGAGACGTAGTATACGTCTCTGCCTTAATTGTCAAAAATGGTATAAAAATCGCAATGTCCATCACATTCACCACAATCCTCTTTTTCAATACTCTACAATACAACACAAATCAACATATATCTTAACGATGGAAAGAACCGACTCTACCGCCAAACTTGTCGACAGTGATCACCTGGGCCTTTTGAGCGACCAGCCTGAGTCTGAAGGTAAATGTTAAACATGATTTTTTTTTAAAGTGAGTTTAATTGTAAAACTATCGGTGTCGAAATTATCAGTCTTATGCAAGACTTATAAGAGCTACTTCCCTTAAATGTGCTGCCCTACGCATTAAATATAATTTGGTACACAAATAGTTTGCTGTAAAATTAAGGATATATGCTACCTTACATAGTATATAGGCTATCTTACACATTTACCCGTAATTCGTGATAGAATTAAGGTGATATGCTACCTTATGTATATAAATCATTCAAATCATACCTGTGATTTATGTAAGAGTTAAGGCGATATGCTACTTTAAAAGCGTGAAAAGTATCAGAATTAAAAACATACCACGCCTTACACTTCACACATGTGATTTGTGTTTATGCAATATGCCACCTTACACAATATGCATGTGTCTTGTTAAAATTTACATTTTATACCTGTCATTTGTGTAAGTTAAGTTTTAATGATAAATTACATAGTACATGTATATCTGTAACTTGTGATAAAGTTTGTATTAAAGATATATATGCTACCTTTCATTGTTGCGCTTTGAAAACTTTTAAGTGACATCTAGAATTTGTTTTGGAAACATTACAAATATCCACTACCATAGTAAATGAAAGATTTCTAGATTTAACGGATTCCGTAAAATGAATGTTGAAAATAACTTATGTCCTTTTTTATTCAGGATTCTCCTCTGGCTACGACTCGGCCGATACATTGGACTCCGAATCATCTCCCCCACACGACAACGACCACAACAAAGATGTCGACGACGGATTGGGCTTGGAATGCGACAACATCAGCAGTGATCACGTGAAGTACCAGAACACCAGCGCCCTCTGTGAACACCTGAAGTACATCTTATCCATGCCAGAACTTTGTGACGTCACATTTCTCGTAGGGCCAACTAAAGTCCCCGTCCATGGAGTGAAGGCTATTCTATCAACTCGTAGCAGGTAAGCTTCATCATACATATAACCACGTGCCTTGGTTCAACGTATTTCTTGAAGACATAATCCTATCAAATGTTAATTCAGAGGGTCTACAATGCACAAGCAAAAGGAAACACTATTGTTAAGGGTGCATAGATATCATTCATCGAGGATCCCTGTGCTGTATAACAATTGAGGCATCGCACCGCTAAGACGGTTATTTCAAAAATGAAATTTGACAAAATAAC